GGGCCCCCAACTGGATCAGGCCCTCTGAATGGATGAGACAGTCGATTGGCTTGATCTGTTTGGGAGGCATCCAGGCAGTGGGACCTCGTCCTGTGCTCATTGCATGAGTTGGCTGTTTGAAACCTGGGACTTATGCAGGGTTGCTTGGCTTGGCCTGGGAGGAGGGAACTGGATCTGCCTGGACTGAGTCTACCAGGTTGATCTCAGTCCTTGGGGGAGGCTTTGCCCTGGAGGAAGTGGGAATGGGGGGTAGGATGGGGGAAGAGGAAGGGAATGGGAGGGGGGTCAAGGGAATCTGTGGCTGATATGTAGAACTGAATTGTATTGTAAAATAAAATAAAATATATATATATTTTTAAAAAAGAACATTTTAAGATTCATGCTACAGAGTACCTACTATGTTCGTCCTTCTGAGTCTGGGTTACCTCACTCAGGATGATATTTTCTAGTTCCATCCATTTGTCTGCAAACCTCATGATGTCATTGTTTTTCTCTGCTGAGTAGTACTCCATTATGTATATGTACCACATTTTCTTTATCCATTCTTCAGGTGAGGGACACTTAGGTTGTTTCCAGGTTCTGGCTATTACAAATAATGCTGATATGAACATAGTTGAGCATGTGTCATTGTGGTATGATTGAGTATTCCTTGGGTATATGCCCAGGAGTGGTATAGCTGGGGATTGAGGAAGATTGATTCCCAATTTTCTGAGAAACTGCCATACTGGTTGTACAAGTTTGTATTCCCACCAACAGTGGAGGAGTGTTCCCCTTGCTCCACATCCTCTCCAACATAAGCTTTCTTCAGTGTTTTTGATCTTAGCCATTCTGACAGGTGTAAGATGGTATCTCAGAGTCATTTTGCTTTGCATTTCCCTGATGACTAAAAATGTTGAACAATTCCTTAAATGTCTTTCAGCCATTTGAGCTCCTTCTGTGGAGAATTCTGTTTAGCTCTTTAGCCCATTTTTTAATTGGACTGTTAGGTATTTTGATATCTAGTTTCTTGAGTTCTTTATATATTCTGCAGATCAGCCTTCTGTCAGATGTGACGTTGGTGAAGATCTTTTCCCATTCTGTAGGCTGTCATTTTATCTTATTGACCATGTCCTTTGCCCTACAAAAGCTTCTCAGTTTCAAAAGGTCCCATTTATTAATTGGTGCTCTCAGTGTCTGTGCTACTGGTGTTACATTTAGGAATTATTCTCGGGTGCCAATGTTTTCAAGATTACTTCCTACTTTCTTTTCTATCAGGTTCAAAGTAACTGGCTTTTTGGAACCTAGTACCTATGGTGGGACACTTTGTATAGCCTTGGTGCAGGAATGAGGGGTTTGGACCTTCTCAACTGAATGTACCAGACTCTGATGACTCCCCATGGGAGACCTTGACTTAGAGGAGGTGGGAATGGGGGGTGGGTTGGGAAGAAGGCTGGGGGTGTGTGAGGAGGGAGGACAAGAGAATCTGTGGTTGGTATATAAAATAAATAGAAAATCTCTTAATAAAAAATTATATAAAAATGAAACACAAAATTCTCAGGGGGATGGATGGAGCTAGACAAAAAAAAAATCATTCTGGGTGAGATTACCCAAATGTGAAAGGACAAATATGGTATGTATTTCCATATATGTGAGTCTTTAATTTTATGCCTTCATTAGGCATTCTACTATCCTTATAACCACAGAGGTTAGGAAAGAGTAAGGAACCATGGGGCAAGGGAAGGAAACCCTAAGGTAGGAGAAATAAACTATATAGTATGCAGAGAGAGAAGGGTGCCTGTAAGGAGTGGATTAAATGGAGAGGGGGAAGGAATGAGAAAGGTAAGGGAGGGAATACGTGGAGAGACAGCAAACACTAAACATCATTTGAGGGGTTATATGGAAACCTACTACAGTTAAAGCTTCTTAAAATATATACATGTATGAATAAAATTTGAATGGAATCACCAAATAACAGGGATACAATGTGCCAACTAAACCTCTCTTTTAATCAAGAGAAATCTCTAGTGCCAGGAAAGGCTTATATCTAATTGAATTGTTGGCCAATGGAGTCCATGGAACTATCCAAACAACTTATGCTATTGCCAAGACCATTGAGCACTCTCCACAAACAGATGGTAAGCTCTATTGATGATGACACCACCTACATATCATTGAACATGGACAGAAAACAAGCTGGTGCCGAATTAGTGCATCTACTCCTACTGACTAGTGGTGTTGGAAGGTACTCTGCACTATCAAAGGAGAAAGGTAAAGACCAATTTATCCACAAACCCTTTGACCTCCACTGCTGACCTGTCTGTATGATACACTGATGCAATATTGGCATAAAAGTTGAGAGTCTGACAAACTACAATAGACGATTGGCTTTAAGGCCCTCTCCATGATGGAACTCATCCTCAACACTGCTCTGGCAGCCGGGAACTTGAGAATCAGTAGGCCATGAACCTAGGAGAAAAAAAGTACTATTGTTTTACTACAGGAACATAGTAACAAAATGACTTTTACAAAACACTGTGCTATACCCATAGCTCACTGTCTAGCTCAGAAAGCCCCAGAATCTTCCTCTTTCAAGGGATGAGAACTAATACAAAGACCACAATAGAGGATTGTAATAAATTATCTCATTGATTCTTAGTATGGAAAATAAAGAATGTCATTCAGTTTTTTAAACAGTGAGCTAGAGTTGTTCTTACTATATGATGATGTTAACACTGCCTTTCTTAAGACCACCAGCACAATTTTTGTATAAGTTTACCTAATTATCATTTATAAAATATAAAGTCCTACTTCTTTACTAATATATTATCTATGTTGTAAATCACCATAATCACAAAGAAATTAAAGATAATGAAAACATAGTCTAAATATTTAATTGATTCATTAATATGTACATTCATGCTTCAAATGCTGTTATGGTGTTTTAATCATTTAAAACTTTTGCTGACCTTTTTCATTTCAATAAGACTATAACTTCTTTTATCTTGTGATGTACTCTATCAAGAAATTGAACTTGATTAATAAATAATAGGATATCATTTTGATACTTGTTCATGTTCAGATTTATAAGTTAATTATACAGACATACAGAGAGAGAGAGAGAGAGAGAGAGAGAGAGAGAGAGAGAGAGAGAGAGAGAGAGAGACATATACTTGAAATACAGACTCAGATTGCATCCCAGACTGACCCAAACTCATGGTCATGCTCCTGCCTCAGCCTCCATCATCCTCCAGAGTATTGAAATTACAGTATCAAGTCACCAGATCTAGCTTCTATGTTACATTTAATACATGTTTTTGAGAGAAATCTTTGTAAGATGCTTGTCCATTCTGTGAGTTTTGATAATTAAAACACAAAGTCTATGTCTACTTACATAAGTACATACATACTTCAAAGTCACAAAATCCTGAGACAAAGGTAAGGTTAAATATGACACTCAATGATCTTTCCAGGATGTGGAGTGTCTACTGCTACACAGAACACATGCCATCCATGCCATATACCATTCACTGAAGAGACTAAGCCAGGAATCATGCAGATCTTTACTATAGTGAAACCATTGTCTTCATCTTTCATTTAGCCTGCTAAATCCATTGTCTCCACGCCCAGCCTCTCAACCTGCAGTTATAAACACAGAGAGTTTTAGACATGTTTGCCTCTCCATTTATTCTTTTCTGACAATTAAATGGCCCTGGAGTTAGGCAGTGGCCTTCCTAGTCCTTCTTTCTAAACTATCCTTATTCTCATTATATAATAAATAATAAATAATTCTCCTACACTCTGGGGCTGATTGTAATGTGCTGTATCTCTATTTAAACAACATTATTTAAAATGGGCAGTTTTAATGATTTTATACTGTCATAATTATTCTATCTGGAAATGATCTTGAGAAGGTTTATTGTAAATGCTTGTGAGGTATATTCACAAACACGTCTTTTCAAAGGATAAACTGATTTATGAGCATCATGAAGGGGAGCTGACATTAGAAGTGAGTAATGAAAAGTTCTGCTCACTGGTCTGCTGCCAGATGGTGGTGTCCTTGTGTCCTGTGAGAGGGAAAGGAAAAGAAAGGAAGGGACGAGGGAGGGATGACAACAGATAATAAACTGATTGATGTTATATCACATCATTTCATAGAAATTTGTTTAAATACTAATGTTTCTGGATGCAAAATGCAGTGAGTTCCTACTGTAGCATCTGGGTATCTGTATCATCAGAGCTACTGTCCAACTGGCTTGTGCTTGATGACAGTTCTCTTTCAGAGTGATAGCTTTTTATAAAAGGCAAACACTACTATTACTGCGCTGTCTGGATGAAAAAAATGTCTGGGACAGAGAAAAATCTCAGTTTTTCAAGGGTCATTATAGACACAATCCACTGTCAAATATGCAGGGAAATGTGTGGTTTTCACCTATTTCCCAGATAACTGTTGAGTTATCTCTAAAGAATAGCATTTTATGATTGAGGGTCTTATTTACATTGATGCTCCATTGTCCCAGATATCATATCATCATTTCTTTAACATCTCTGCCTTAATTTCAGAGGGAACATTCTCACTTCAGGCTTTCTTTCCTTCTAATTTGTGAGAAAGAATCTTCTTAATGAATAAAAATCACACAGATGCATACACATATTGCATTTTAGAATAGGCACATAATGAACCAACATTATTCGCTTAGAGAACGTGAAAAAATGTTTAAAAGTAATTCTCTCTCTCAAGGGTCATGATCAACACTGATGTACTTTATAAGCTGTTAACAAATTAGAAGAATGTATTGAATTAAAAAAATAATTTAAGTACAGGCTAAAACATTGTGTTATACTTTGCCCCGATAGTATTTATGGAATATGTTTTTATGGTTATATTTTTCATATTTATTAGTATATATGTATATATATACTTAGAAATATTATGTAAGATATTGAATATTTATTGTACTTTGTTGTTTATTTCACATGTTACTTGCTCTTTGAAATGCTTATATGCTTTTCCTTACATCTCATTGGTATCACCTATCTACATTACATGTGTGCATATTTCTAAAATTTCCCCTATTCTGTTCTCCTGTTGCTCATGCACATGGGCTCTATTTCCAGGATCTTTTGAGTAAATTACACTCACCACCCATGACCGACATCTGAAATATGAAGTAGTATATCCTTTTCCTGGAGTAGACTACAGTCTTCCTGAGTTGGTCATCTAAAAAGAGTCGAAGGGCACTGAGGTGGGTAAATTCTAATCGGCAAAGGCCCCGTATGTTCTGATGATGTCACAGACTAATACCTCCTGATAGTAAATACTGAAGCACTGAATGAAGTAGTTATATTAGATAGGTCAACATACTAAACTCATTACACTAGTCCATGTAATGCTAACTTGTGGGTGCCCTTCACCCATGCTTTAACATGTCAGCATCCAGTGGGTGCTTATTTTTCAATTATTCCATTGACCAATTATCTCTAATATAGTTTAGCAATGACTCAGTTTCCTTCTATTTTAACATGTTTGTTTTTCTCACTCCTCTTGTTGACAGATCTCCACTTCACTTCTATGTCCTGACAAAATTATTTCTAAGGCTTTTCTAAATGTCCTCACCCTCCTTATATGATGCTCTTCTGCAACCCTATAAAGCCCATATCCTGTTTGATGCTCCTCATTCACATCATCCTGGCTGCCTTTTTCTGACACGTTAGTCTGTCTCATCAAGAGTCTCACCGATTATTTCTTCATTTTTGAAAGCATTTTATAATAAAAGCTTTAGTGGTTTGCACTTTCATGTAATTCTAAGATGTGATTTCTAAGAAAACATTTTCTTGATTTCTGTGTCAGAATACCTCTTCTGTATCTCCGTTTTATCCAACAATTACAATAGATATTTAATATACCCTCTTACTTCATCATTACTATTCCTTTTTCAAGAGTGTAAGCTTACCCAGAACTGGACTATATTCATTCTGTTCTGTGTTTGTGTTATTCAGAATAGGCCTGGTTTAATAACTGGTGCTCAGGAAATATCACTTCAATAAAAGATGAATTAATGACTAGGCCTACCCTTCCGAATTCTTACATTAATGGTGACTGAAACCCAAGTCAAGAGTTCAGGTGTTTTTCAGAGGTAGTCGTGAGTTTCAGTCATTTTCTCTCTCTCCTCCTGCTTGCTCCTCCTTCCTCCCTTTCCACTTCCTTTCTCTTTTGCCTTTCACATACTTGAATCTTTAGAGATGGAGACCATGTACCTCAAAATGACTGTTGTGAAAGATTCCAACAACAGAATTGGAATCCAGGGCTTTTCAGCCCAGCCCAGTAGAATCATACCTGAGCATGCACAGATCATAGGACACTTTAGAAAGTCAGTACTACTTATTATACTTAATTGTTAGACTTCAGAATATCCACACTATGTTCGTACTTCTAATTGAAACAACTCGATTAGTAACATTTTCAAAGAAAGAGCTATAGTCTAACATTATAGCTTAAAAAATTGGTAAAATATTAGCATTCTTGTACGAACTTACTGTTTTGATCAAAAAATTATTTCTACATGGCTTACTTAGTGTCACTTAAATTTGTGCCATGGTGTTCTGCTTACATGCAGCAAGTAATATTTTCTAGCCTTTGGTTAACATAAACATATGATGGCAGTGTTTCTTCTCATTGGACGGCAGTTGATCCCCAAAGCTGTTTATTCTCTTGTGTCATTCCTCCTTAATCTTAACTGAATGCGTTTGAAACATCTCATTGAATAAATAAATGATTAGAATAAGTGTTGTCATAACTTCCTTTGCATTGAGTGACACACCATGTGCCAGAAAAGGCTGCTACCTTTCACACATTGCTTGTCCTTCACTCATATTTGGACAACTGTTTCTCATACAGAATGTTCTCAAATTGTTAAAAAGCAATAATAAGAATAATTTATATAATGCTAATAACTTCTGCTATCTTTCATCTAAAACAAAGGGAAAACCATTTTGCTTTGAACCATGTGTTGGGCTTGCATCAAAATAAAATGCTTCCATTCAAGTGCTGTGGCAAACTCTCTTTAGAAACACACATATTTGAAATTCTTTTATATAATTTCCCAATTTGTTTTCCATTAAAAAATAGCTAAAAAAATGTGTATTGAATCAAAACCTCTTCTGACTCAATCTGTATGGTGACTTCTCTATTTTTTGTATGAATTCATTAAGATGTTTAAAAACTCAAGATATTTTCTAACCATCTTTCATAAAGGGAAGAGGGACTACATATACACTTCCTTGTTTTTAATATTATTATTTATTTTCTGGTTTTCTGAGGCAAGTTTTATGTGTAGCTCTGGCTGTCCTGGAACTCCCTCTGTAGACTAGGCTGGCCTCAGACTTAGAGATCTGCCTGCCTCTCAGGTGCCAGGATTAAAGGTGTGCATCACTACTGCCCAGATTAATTTTTTTTTACCATAATTATAAACACCATTAAAGTATTTTCTATTTCTGAAGTAACACCCTCTTCTTTCACTCCCTATCTCTTTGTGTCTTTTTTTTTCTGCACATAGGACATGTGCTTTGTGTACTTTATGTGCCCCCCTCCCCGCAACCTCCCACCTCCCACCCCCCACCCCCACCCCCGCGCAGCTGCTTTACTAGTCTAGAAGAATAGCTCTGAAGACACTCCACTGACTGGCTGTTTGTCATTGTATCCTTCTGTCCTGGCAAGTACTTTGACTGATCAATATTGATTGAAGTATGTGTGGATAGCTGAATTCATATTTCAGTTCTGATTCATTTTGTCCCAGGAAAATGATTTGGCAAATAAATGGTAACAAACCTATAAGCTTTCAAGAATATTTATCATAGTTTTAGGATGCTCAGTAGTAGATTTCAAATCCAAACTAACACTATAGCGTATAGTAAAAATAATTTTAAACTTACAGCACTTTTTAAAAGATAATCATCTTTCCACTATTTGGTTTTACAATTTCAGTATTTATTTGTAAATTAAACAAGTTTTTATATTATTTAGAGTCAGAAGTTATGGCTTACTCTTGTTCTCACTCATATATTTCTGTCAATGATGCTTTGAATTTTCATTTAGAAACACTGGCAAACCTTTCTTAAAAATAGTCTATTTGTTCCTTCCCAGTGAAATGTGCGAGACACAGAAATAGAACATTGTGTGACGGAACAGATGCTACAGCCATGTGAGTTTATATGAGGATGCTCGTGACAGATGCCGCCTTCTAGCATTAGCCAATTGTTAAAAGGTGGGTATCACTACTTTAAAATTACTAGAAATAACCCGGACTTTGAGCAATATGGAAGGCTCGATATCAATCTCACATACTGAAGGCAAATTTGTACTACGACATAATAAATATTCTAAGAAATAGACATTTTTTTTTTGTTTTTTTGAGACAGGATTTCTCTATACAACAGTTCTGACTGTACTGGAAGTTGCTTGTTAGACCTGGCTGGCCTTGAACTCAGAGATTTGCCTGCCTCTGCATCCTCTGTACTGGAATAGAAGGTGTGAGCCACCACCAGACAGGACAATTTTACTTTAAAGCAGCATTAATCAATATTTTTAGATTTTCACATGGAAGAAATACTTCATCTTCTACCACAGGAAAGAGAAACTAAAGGCAAGATAGCTTCCAAAACATGAGCTGAACAAGGACAACACCACGGGACATGCCAAAGTGAGCAAGAAAAAGCACGCGATGCCTCAATCCTACACAAAAACCTACAGTCAACTGAGGAAAGCTGGGATGGGAGAGATTGTTTTCCCCAGGTTAGAGCATACCAAAGTGCCTGTCCAGTGCCAAACGGTCATCCCCGAAAATATACATACGAGTAACATACAGATTCAGCAGAATATATTTATGTGTGTGCATATATGTATATATGTACATACCACGACAATTTGTGAAAATTGAAAAGGCCGTGGAATGTAGGAAAAGGTTCATAGAAGGACTTGAAGGGAGGAAGGGGGAGGGAGAAATACAATAATGTGGGGATATTTTGTTTATACTCTAACAAATAAAATTCGTCTGAAGATCAGAGGATAGAGTCAACCACTAGATTAAACACAGAGGCCAGGCAGTGGTGGCACACGCCTTTAATCCTAGCACTTGGGAGGCAGAGATCTGTCTGGATCTCTGTGAGTCCAAATCCACCTTGGACTATGGGAGATTAATCCAGTCTAAAAGAGAAACAGAGCCAGGCAGTTGTGGCACACATCTTTAATCCCAGCATTTGGGAATCATACGCCTTTAATCCCAGCACTAGGAAGGTTGAGACAGAAAGTGATATGGCTGAGCAGAAAAAGGAATATCAGGCGTGAGGAGACAAGAGTTCCATGCTCTTTCAGCTAAGGACTCAGAGGCATTCAGTCTGAGATTTCCTGGGGACAGAATCTGGCCTCCTTTTCAGCCTGAGGATTCAGTAGTGTTGAGAAGTTTCTCTAGTGGCTTGTTCCTTTGTCTTTCAGCATTTACCCAAATATTCTGGCTCCAGGTTTTTATTTTAAGACCAATTAGGATTCATGCAACATTTTAATTTTATTGTAATATCAAAAATAAAAGGAAGAAGGAAAAGCAACTTACTCAAAACTAGGGAGATTATACTTGGAAGAGTCAGGGTACTTTGAAATCCAAGCACACGTTATTTTAAAGTTATATGGTAGCTATTAGAGTGAAAAGCATATTTACTCAAATTTACTTTTATTCTCAACAACTAACAAAGGTGAACAGTTGAAATCATATTAAAATGTACAGGAGACAAATCAGTAGTTACTGTAAAATTTAATCTGTTCAGTTCACACACACACACACATATATGCATATATAAATAATTTACTTTCAACATTTTACTTAGTTTTCTACAACTTATGTTTACAATATAATCAATTTTGAACAATGCAATATGTTACTATTACTTGAGACTGAATAATACTATATGTCAAAACCTAAAAATTAATAAAACATATTCCTTAAGTGTTCTCAACCACACACAAAAAGGACATGGGTGGTGATTCTATGTTAATTAGTGTGATTGAGTAATTTTTAATGTCTCTATAATACAACTATCATATTATGCAGTTAATATATATAATGTATTTTATATAGACATTATATACAATATAAAATACAAAATGTATTTTTGTAGACGTAATTATGAACAGAGTCATTAAATAGGAAACAGAGCCAAATGCAGAGTTAAAAGCCCAGAGATAGAGAAACAGCCAACAGCTAAGTCCACCTTCTTACCCCTCGCTGTCGTCCTTCCCCTGAGAAAGAGACCTACTTCCTGTGTATCTGTCTTTTATAGACTTTCTGTTCTGCCTTCTCATTGGTTGTAAACCCAACCACATGACCTCCTTGTCACTGCCTATCTATACAGACCTCCAGGTCTCTATGGTTGGTATTGAGATTAAAGGCGTGTGTCTCCAAGCTGGCTGTGTCCTTGAACACACAGACTCTGCCTGTCATGTGATAGAATTAAGGGCATGTGCTACCACTGCCTGACTTCTGCTAAATGGCTTGTTATTAGCTCTGACCCCCAGGCAACTTTACTTACTAACATACAAATAAAATCACATTTCAGCACAAATAAAATATCACCATATATTTTAAAATATTTTTTAAAAATAATTTTTTTCAGTTTTTAACTGTACATTACAAATAATGTGGTACATTTTAGTCTTTTTTATGGTTTTAACATCAAATTAGAGCAGGTTACTTTCTTTCCTACTGATCATTTTAACACCAAATATATACTCCATGAACAAATTATGGTAGTCTTATTTTGCTCTGTCACATTTGAGTGCTCATAATACAGTCATAGAAATGAAAACTTTCGCCTTAGCAATTCACCTGGGTTAAACCAGAAATTCCAGGATGAAAGGGAAATTAAATGTAGGAGGAAAAGTTCTGATAGTGGGACATGGTTGCTGGTGCTGGTGCTCAGAGCTCTATGGACTGAGGGAAGCTTGATCAGGTTGGAGAATCAAACTTCAGAGAGAGAGGAGGTGTTTGTTGCACAAATCCTAAATGCCAAATGGTCTTATAATTAAAACCCAGAGCCAGATATCGGGGTAAATGCTGAAAGATCATGGGAAACGAGCCACAGCCACTTTTCACCTCACCAGCTCCTCAGCTGAAAAGAGAAGATCCTGTCTCCATGAATCCTCAGAATGAATGCCTCTGAGTCCTGAGCCAAAAGGGCCTAATTCTTGTCTCTTCCCGCCTTATATTCCTTTCTCTCCCCAGCCATATCACTTTCTATTTCAACCTTCCTAGTGCTGGGATTAAAGATGTGTGATCCCAAGTGCTGGAATGGAAGGTTTGTGCCACCACAGCCTGGCTCTGTTTCTTTCTTAGACTGAATTAATCTCGTGTAGCCCAGTGTGGTCTTGAACTCACAGAAATCCAAATGGATCTTTGCCTCTGCCTTCTGAGTGCTAGGATTAAAGGTGTATGCCACCACTGCCTGACCTCTGTGGCTGACTTGGTGGCTGGTTCTGTCCTCTGATCGTCAAGTGAGCTTTATTTCTTAGATTACAAATATCACCACAGGGAGGCTTCCTTTTAATCATTGATTCTACTTTTCTCACACTGTTTGAGGGTGGTCCATGAGATATTAAGTCTCTAAAACATAGAATTTAACTGTAATTTCCTGTAAATGATTTTCTTGTACCAAAGAGTTCTCAGATAGACAAGATTGAATAAGGCATTGGGATGAAAATACAAGGGTAAATTCTGGAAACTGCCAACTGGAATGCTTATGAATTTGGGTGAGGTGACAAGGCACAGGACCAGGCCTTCCGCATCATCTTCTGTGATTTTGATCTCTTGTAATCAGCACCAAGATGGTTACATGTGTGTAGTGTGCTTGTGTGCTTGGGTGTGCATGTGCATTATGTGTTTGGTGTGGCTGTAGCTATACTTTGCTTTAATAATATAAACATATTAAGAAAATGTAAAATCATTGTTAGCAAAGTTACTAGAAAATGAGTTCAACACTAATAACACTGTGAGAATTGCTCTTAGCATGAGAATATTGACTTTATTGTAGAAGTGCAATGGTATATGCAAAGGGATCTTAAAAAATCCTTGCATATATATTTATTTATATTTATAAAGCTTATTATACTAAATATAAATATACTGAAGTATACACTGAATATGTTTCATATATAAGTATAATGTTTATATAATATATAAATATTATAAACAAGTTTCTTTATAATATAAAGGCAGTTTTCAATGAGTATGTCATATTGTTTCATAAATCCTTATTAAAATGATGTTAAAGACTTATTTTTCATTGATATTACTACTAGTATTCATATTGACTCATTTACATTTTAATTTACTATAAAACACATGCTTTTGATCTACCAATACAAATTTTGTAATATATTGCTATGTTTTTATGCTAAATAGAATTGATAAATATAGCATAAGATATACACAGGTCTGCTTTCTGTCACCCCAGAATTCTTGCCATCTAATGTCATATAAATGTTGCTCAGTGAATGGGAAAAGATGAGGAAAGCTTGTGACCATTCCTATCGTCAACGTTCAGACATGCTCTGCTGTGTACCATGCATTTCCTGTGGCCTCTAGCTCTTCCTTGAAACTCACTACTTTGATGTTTCAATTTCATTCATTTTTACAAAGAGGTTATTTTGCTTGTTTGTTTGTTTGTTTGTTTTTCTGAAACTCTAAGATATATTAAAGGTCAAAACAAAGGTATATAAGTAATATCCTGGACCGTTTCCAACAATAGATAAAAGTTCTCTGTTAGCCACGGGCTTTCTTCAAGTCTTTCTTTCTCTCAATACCTTTAAAAAATAAGCACAATCTTTCTGTGAATGTCACAATTAATCATACAGCCACTTAAAAAATATTTATTTTTTAAATAAGATGATTTCTTTATTTTTCCCTTCCCTTTACTCCTTCCACACTTTCCCATATTCCCCTTGCGCTCTTTTAAATCCAGTGTTTCTTTATTAATTGTTGTTATATATCCCCAAATACATAAATATAGCATGTTCAATCTGTACAATGATAGTTACTGTTTATTATAATAATACTTCTTTTTTATTTAAAATTAAAAAAAAATTTCTTCATTTTACATACCAACTACAGTTCTGCCTCACACCCTTCCTCCTGGTCCTCCCATCTCACTTTCCCCACCTCCAACCCACCCCTACCCCCTCCTCCAAAAGGGTAAGGCCTCCCATGCGGAGTCAGTAAAGTCTGGCACATTCAGCTGAGGCAGGTCCAAGCCCCTCTCCTTCCTGCATCTAGGCTTTGCAAAAGGTCCCACCATAGGTAATGGGCTCCAAAGGCCAGCTCATGCACTAGGGATAGATCCTGATCCCACTGTTTAAGGGACCCCTTAAACATACCAAGCTACACACCCGTCTCTTGTATGCAGAGGACCAAGTTTGGTCCCATGCAGGCTCCACAGCTGTTGGTCTAGAGTTCACAAGTTCCCACAAACTTGGTTCAATTATCTCTGTAGATTTCCCCATCATTATCTTGACTCCTCTTGCTCATATAATCCCTCCTCCCTCTCTTTGACTAGATTCCCAGAGCTTGGCCTGGTAATTGGCTGTGGATCTCTGCATTGGCCTCCACCAGTTATTGGATGAAGGCTTTGTAGTCTTAAATTTTTTCCAGTCCTGACCAGCCCTGCCCAGTCCTGCACTTGGGATGAATCTCTCCTTCCTGAGTCCTGTAGTTGCTTGATCCCAAGTAAACACACAGAGGCTTATATTATTTCCAAACTGTATGACCTATGGGTCAAGCTTCTTGTTAGCTAGCTCTTACGTCTTACGTTAATCCATTTCTATTAATCCATGTTTTGACATGTATTCCATGGCTTTACCGGTCTGCTGGCATCTGGCTTCTCCTTTAGTTGCAGCTGGTGTCTGTCTTACCTCTGCCTTTCTTCTTCCCGTCTCTCTCCTTAGATTTCCTGCCTGCTTCCATCATGCCCTGCCATAGGCCAATGCATCTTTATTTATCAACCAATCAAAGCAACACACATTCACAGCATACAGAAAGATATCCAGCAGCAAGCCTCTATAATGTCAGTTAGGGTATTCACC